GATACAAGTTTATTTGTGTAGAATATTTGAGTGACAAGAAAATTTACAGGGTTCAACATGAGAGCACATTGCAAAGGTATAAGGTCAAGTCAAGAACGCCCACAGAGGACAATGTTCACCATGGAAGGGAATGTTAGAAGCCTCAGAACACAACTGTAACAACACAAAGGCCAGCCCGCCAAAGCTGGAGACTTAACAATACTGGAAAAATATCTGTGAGAAAGAAGCATCATATAACAATAAGATAGCAGGTTTGCACATTGGTTAATGACCTAAGAGCTGATCATACGACCATCCCTGAAAAATGTCCAGTGAACATCATAATGGCAGGTCTCCACCGATGACTCTCAATTAAGAACTGGTCGGCACCAGTCCCCGGCATGATCCACACCCTACAGGCTGAAGAAACTGATTTCTCTCCATGACCGTCTAGGGGGTAAATGACCTGGTAATGTCCTGATAATGGAAGACCCTCAGAAGGGCACAGTCCCAACCAGCTATTGGCCAATAACCTGTCTCCACTGGCATGGAAGCTCCTGTCAGGCATCATAATGGCAAAGATAAACTGGCAGCTGGATCAACACATGACAAAGCCACAGAAAGAGATTTGGAAAAACACCAACTACTGTTTGACAGAACTGTCATCTGTGACTGTAAAACCAGACAAACAAACCTGTCCACAGTCTGGGTTGATTACAGAAAGCCTGTGACTCAATGCCACACACATGGATCCTGGATTGCCTGAATCTGTACAAGTTCAACAGCACATGTCGCAAGCGTCCTCAGTGTTTGCGGAAGTAAACATGACTCGTAATACCGCAGCGTATATTGCGTTCTTTAAGTTCTTCTCCAACAGGAGCAGGCACATTACGAACGAAATCTTTTTAAGAAGATCAAAAAGAAAGAGAGCCAGGTTCCGGTAAGACCCTTCGAGTTTGATCTGAATCGAGCTATCTTTCCAAATATGAATTAGGTCAGCAACCTCACTTTCTCTCCATTGACTGCTCTCTGTGTTATCTTCCGCAATGGTTGTTAGTTTTTCCCGCCTCCGCTTAGTAGGACGCAGATTAGTAACGTTTAGTAACATTTGTCAAGTATCAATGACGTGTAGGTTGGATGAATGCGACCTGGCCGTACAGACACAGGTTGCATTTGAAAAGATCAGATACGTATCGGATTCAGGACCACATATCCAAGTGGCCTGGGTCGCATTTGAAAAAATCCGATCTGTGTCGTTCAGACTGTCATAAAAAGATCAGATACAGGTCACATATGGGCAAAAAAATCAGAATTGGGTCACTTCAGGCTGCAGTGTGAACATAGCCTAAGAGTTTTAAACTCATTGTAAACTCCATGGGGCTGTGAAAAAACACAATGGAGGCCAACTTTAAGCCACTTGCAAAAATCTCCATCAAATGTGGAATATACCAAGGAGATGCTCTATCCCCCCTGCTGTTCTGCATAGGCCTGAACCCCCTCTGCCCAAAAAAATCAACAAGACTGGGTATGGATATGACAGTCAAATAGCAACCACGAAGAAGCCTCAGCGAAATCAGCAACAGACAAATACCTGCAATGAATAAGGCAAGTTCTGAGGAGAAAGCTCAATGGTCAGAAAAAGGTCCAGGTAATCAACAGCTTTTCCTTTGCCAGTAACCAGAAACCCTGCAGGTGTAATAAGTTGGCCTAAGGAGGAAAATGCAGGTCACTGATGTTAAAAGATGAGAGCTACTCACCATGCATGGTAGAATTCCCCCCAAATATGTATCCACAGACTATACACTAAACCCCAAAAAAGGAGGCCTAGTGAGCATCGGAGCCAACAATGAAGAAACATCTAAGCTCCAAGAATACACTACGAAGATGGGCCCAAGGAATGAAGTGCTTTGTGAATTTCTTAGCAACTGGAAACTGGAAATTAAGGATCTGGAGGAACCATCAGGGGAGAAAAAACACTGCATGGGATGTACCACCGACAGATCTACATACCAGGCAAGATCCCAGGTGCAGGCTATGCAAATACATGGATACATGGAACATCATAACCAAGTGGCTGATATAGTGTACAGAAACATTTGCAGAATACAAACTGGAGACCCCAAGGTCAAAATAGGAACCACCTCCCAAGGTGGTGGAGAATGACAGAGATAAGATCCTGTGAAACTTCCAAGTACAAACAGACAAAATGGTTGATACCAACCAACTGATGTGATCATTAATTAGCAGCCAAGGACAGCCGATAGATGTGGTCATCCCAAATCATGGAAACATCAGGAAAAAAGAACATGAGAAACTGGAAAAATGCTAAGGTCTCAGAAAACAAATAGAAAGCAACTGAGAGGAGAAGGACACTCTAGTACCTGTGGTCATTAGGGCTGTTGTGTCATGTCTTTTGATTATGCTGATCATTTCATGTATTTACTGATGAGTAAAGACAAAGCTATCAGGTTGGACTGCTATGCTACAGTTATATGTTTTGAGCTGTTGTTGAAGCTTGGACAAGCTTTATTTCACTAAGGGGTTAAACACTGATAGAAATGCTCATTACATTTAATATACGGTAACAGTTATTCACAACATAAATATGGCATCCAACCTGGATTGGCATATAATATAAATCCACAACAGGGCACTGGAGCAGTCACCCCCAAACAAAAGAAGTGGGTCCAACAGAAACCTGGAGAAATATCAGATATCTCAGTCCAGAAATGTGCAGTTGTAGGGGCAGTGCTAGGAACCATTAAGCTCCCGTATGCATATATATATATATATATATATATATATATATATATATATATATATATATATATATATATATATATATATATATATATATATATATATATATATAGCAGCTTTTAGTTCTAATGCTCCAAAAATCTGGAATAAACTCCCTGAAAGCTGTAAAGGTTCTGAAACCCTCGGTTTTGACATCAAAAAAGCATTTGTTGACAATAGCCCTTTTCTGTCTAGTTATCTTTTATCTTTTCTTTTATTAATCATTTTTCTATCTTGACATCAATATAAATATTGTAATAATTGAACTTTATTGATCTCACATTAATTTACCTATACATTTAACCCATCCCGCTGGGTAGTAGTGGCCTGCCATCGTGGGGCGCCCGGGGAGCAGTGTGGAGCTTGCTCAGGGACCCAGAATGGCAGTCTGTGGGAGTGGGGCTTGAACTCAGAACCTCAGGATTACCCGGAGAGAACCCTCTCATATACGGGGAGATAATTTTTATATGCGGATCATTATTTTCTGTCATTTACAAATAAAAAATATTAAATGTCAACAAGAAAATTGGGATGAGTGTGATGCTGGTACTTGATTTATGCAAAAATGTAAAATTAAGGAATTCCCATTACTGACCAACGCAATATGGTTAAAAATCATCCAGCTGTCTCATAAAAGCTTTCCCAGTTAATAAATCTGCATAATTAAGCTTTTTTATTATTAGCTATAATTATCTTGTGATTGTAGGAAATAAAAAAGACTGCGTTGTCTTGAGGGTTTTAACACCATCTGGAAAAGTAAAGTGTTTGACTTACAAGTGCCTCAGATTTGCATTAGCATTACAAAGAAAACAATGCATGGAAAAATATTGGTATTTTCAGCCCTCTAGATCCAACATCTCTCCCCATCTGTCCGTCATCTGTCTAGCCAGCCAAATGATTTCTAGGCAGCATATTTAAAGCCTCACTGTTGTCGAAATAGCTGCTATGAAATTACCATGAATTATTGCTTTTGTATTGTTGATGTTAGCAATGGAAACTGGAAGCAAAGTGTTATGTAGAGACACCCTGTTGCTTGAGAAAAAAATCAGCTATTAATTGAAACAACATAGAAATGGGTTTAAAAAAAAACATTTTATTGTTAACTTTATTCAGAGTTTCGGTGCCTCTGGTTCCTTCTTAAATCAACCTGTTGAGTTTGTATGTTTTTAATCGTTTATATAATCATAAACCTATGCAGCACTGATGTTCCACCTCATCAAATAGCAGATAACTTCCTCTCCTTTATGACTGTGATTGTCGGTGGCATTTGGTGACGGTGAACACAGACTCTACCACAGTGATGCTGAGGCTACTCTCCTGTGGTGGATCTCTGGTTGCCATGACAATCAGCCTCAACCTCACCTTTGGGCCAGCAAAGCTTCATCATTAGCTGCTGTTATCACAACGGGAAATTTCTAATTTTCCTTTCCAATCCTTCTTCTCTCAGATCAGTAGCAGAGCACATGAAAGATTCAAACACTTCTCCCCACCATCACTATCCCTAGTTCTTCTACGGTGCGCCTTAAAGGACCTTTTTCCCCAAACTCCCCTATACCACTATATCATGAGATGTGCCTTAGGCGTGTAGCAATGCAGTGCAATGCCTGTGTCTTTAAGAGGAGAGAGAGAGTATTATGTCTAATAGGAGGAATGAAGAAAGGAAAATGCAAGTGAGAAAGAGTGGGCGAGGGAGAGTAAATCTATCATTGGGAACACATTTTTTTGGGTGTGTGTGCAGAGCATCCCTGGACCGGCATGCTCAGAGTACGCCCATCGCTTTCCTCACTCTCTCCATCTCCATCTCTCTCTCTCTCTCTCTCTCTCTCTCTCTCTCTCACACACACCGGCTCTCCCATCCTCACACACACACACACACACACAAACGTGTGCTCACAGTGACACACGCGCAGTGCTGTCAAAAGCGCTTCTGCTGGACCTTGGCCATCTCGTGAAGGAGGTTCCGGCGGAGGCAAGAGAAAGCCTAGAGTGAGACAAAGGAGAGGAGGACGGTAGAAGGCGAGGAACGAATAGGAGAGGAGAGGACCGGCTTGAGGAAGGAGAGACACAGCGCTTTGTGAAGAAGAGAAAGCGAGAAACGGGAGGAGGGAGGAGTGGAGAGGAGGAAAAAAAAAGAGGAGGGGGAACAGGAAACGCAATCACTTTCAGCTGCAGCCGTCCGTGTCGCAGCATGGGCAATGCACCATCCCAAGGCATGTTAAACCCTCTCTCTATGCATGTTTATGTTGCAGGTATTTTCTTTTGGGTTCCTGAATGGCATGCCATCAAACCAGCTGGCTCACCTCCTGCCTCACTCTGTGGAGGTTGGGGGCTGGGCTGAAGGAGCAGCATCCTAGAGGAGAGAGGATGCTGGTAGATGGCATCAGGTAGTAAGGTTTAGCAATAGGCTGGGAGGAATAAAGTGGCTCTATAAAGACCAGGTGGTCCAGAGAGAAAAAAAAGAAAAAGAAGAACACTGGGTGGGGGAACCATGTGTGAGAGCAGCAACAAATGGTGAAGAGCAGAAGTAGCACCATGAGAAGCAGGTGGTGTTTGTGGGCGTGATTGTGTGTAAGAAAGAAACAGGGACTAGTGACTGATTTTTTTTGTTTTTACGTGTAGAAAAGGGCAAAGTGTGTATGGTGGTGTGGTTTCAGCTGCTGCTGTCAAGCAAATGGAAAACCTCTGGGAATTTCAGTCATCCAATAGGCATGTGAAAACACAGAAAAGAAAGATAAAAAGTGTGAATTTCAAACAAGAGTTAGGTTTTCTCCCTTTATTAAAATGGAGTATAAATGGGTGATGATGATGGGAGGGCTATCCATCAGGCGATGCTCCAGCTTTTCCCTGGGGAATTGAATCTCACCTCTTATCTAAAACCCCATGTTTCTCTATTTATTCTCTTTGTAATCTGGAAACAGATTTTTTCTTGGAACTGCTTGCAGGAAGTTTTGCAACATTTAAAATCTGGTTGAAAATGAATTCCTGGAAAGAGTGAAGGAAAATCACTTAAACATGAATAAAATGACAATTATGGGGGAAGAGTAAATATGTTAAATTTAAGTAAGAATGTGGAACAGTAGGCTAAATTCATTGGAAAACACCTTCACCTAAGATATGATTAGAGGTAAAGTAAAGAGTTTTCCAGAGAGGGAGAGGCGGCATCACACGGCTCAGAGAATTCATCCACATTAATTTCCCTCTCTTACTTCTTGCCCTCCCCTTGCCTTTTTTCCTTCCTCCCCTCCGCTTTCATCCCTTACTTGTCTCTCACTAAGGGACAGTCTAGTAGCCGGTGGTGTTTAGAAGGGACGCGAGACACAAGAGAGAAGTCATGAAAGACGGGGAGAGAATGAAAGGAGGTTCAAAAGAACAGAAGATAAAAAAATGGTTTACTCGTAAATGGACGGGTAAGTTCTGATGCAGAGTCTCAGGTTAAGGCAGCACCTGATTATAGATTGATTGGGGCTCAGTAGTAGAAGAGTAATAACTTGTTTGCTTGTGGGATTTTTCTGTTTGCTATGAAATGAGCTTTTGTGGATATTTTTTTTTGTACCTGCAGCAGATGATCTGCTTCATAAATGACCTTTAGTCTCTCCCAGTTATGGAAGTTATTCTATCTGATTGTCCCATTTGTGAGTGAAAACTAAATTAGTTTGAGCCTCAGTTTAGCTGCAGACATGAAGCCTTTTGCAATATCCAGAGATATTTGGTGCGTGTGTTGGTCAGTTGTGGCTGTATATTTGAATCGTGTCACTAGTCATTGTCTGTCTCAGGAGGATTGACATGGATTAGTCTAAATATGCACCCGTTGCAGCCTTTTATTTTCCAACAATTTGGCTTCATGTTCTTCTCTGAAAAAACCACAGCTGCTCTGAATAATTTGCTGAAAAAAAAGAGATTTTTAAAATGGCTTTGACCTGCTATCATTACTGTTGCTGGCAATTCAAAGTACTAATTGAACATAATACTGCTAAGGACCAATCTAATTGCATTCAAGCCACCAACTAAGCAGTCATTTGTCAAACCACACTCGGCTTTCCCAAGATGGTGATTGAAGAAATGTTCTGTTTGCGTTTGTAAAACCTGACATTAACCACGTCCTGTAACTGAAGAAAGTAGCATCTAACAGAACCTTCTGTGTTTCAAATCTGAACCGTAGATAATTTGATTAAACAAAGTCGAGCTGTAAATGCAGAGCTGGCCTAGTGGAGAGTTAATCCTTATCAAAGCGCTCCCATTGTACAGAGACTTTAGATCCTGTTAGGTTCATGCATCCATGTTTTACCTAGCATGTTCAGCGGAGGTTTATGCCAGCACGCTTGTTTATCTATGTTCTGATCCTCTTAAGGAAGCAGAGCCAGATTCATGCCTTTCTAGTGGGTTTGCAGGGGTTACGATTCGGTCACCCTGCCTGCTAAAAAGATTCTACAGGGGTCCATAGAGAGGGGTGCATTGGCAATATTGCACATGGGTTACCTAAGACTTGCCTGACTTTACTGCAGACAACTTTTGCCACACTTGTTTGGCTGACTTTATAAAGGTGCGTTTTATCTTCCATGAAAATGTATATCAGTTTAACAGTTTTAGCCTGGATGAAAGGTAGGAACTAATGGAATATAATTGACCTGTGGTGTTTTGAAAGTAGCGACAGAGCTGCTCTGTTTGCAGTCTTTTCATTTCAGCTCAAAAAGCAAACACAGCTGGACCGCATTGTGTCATATAACCATCTCCCTTTCAGATATTTACCTTAGATACAAAGACGTGACCTTTATTGATTCATATCCTACTCTCGCCTTTGTTGAATTCTGTTTATGCTGGATCACACCCCATGCAATATGAGTTGAATTGTTTGTTCGTTACCAAACTGTTGGTTTAAGCATTTAAAGCAGCTTTTTTATTGACTGCAGCACAAATCCCATCTTGCTATGATGTTGAAGTCACAGATTTGTACACATCCACCTGCTTATTCCCCAGTACTGTGCCACACAAAGCCCCATGAATCCTGCCTGCCTGCGATTGGCTAATGATGATGCAATGTGTTACAGCTGAGGAGCTGCACGTTTTAAGGGCATTTCTGAAGTAATTGACCCTGCTGGGAATAGAGTGCGCACACTTCTTCTGATGTTAGAGTAAATAAGATACACATATGGTGAAAATGAAACACAGACAGTGTAGTTGTTATTTATTCTAAGCCTTTTCTAAAATAAAAAAGAGGAGTTATTAATGATGAGGAAATCTTAAAGCTTATATAGTTTTTTTCTTGGGCTCACCTCATTGAGCTCCATGCTACAGCCAGTTGTCATCGCTTCAGGGCATTGATCGAGGGACGTTTTCACCGCTTATAATTTTTTCATGCAGTATTGATTGGTATATCATTTTTAAAAAAAACTCTGTGTACTGTCTTGTACTCAGCAGGGAGACCCAACTAATTGAAACAAAGGATGCAAAAATCAAACATTAAAATCGTTATCAACGGTTTGTGCTTTCACTGGGGGGTGATGAGAGTCCTATGGCTGCAGTAGTAAGCAAAATCAGTCAGCTCTCTCAAGGTCATCAATGATTAAGTGGTTTTAATATAACATGCATTAACAAAATAATTTTCTCCAAACCAGAGCTTTGTTTATTGTAGTTTGATCATTTATGCATAACAATAACTCATCTACAGTTACAGCTTCATATTACGGTAAATTGGTGAGCTTTGAATTCTTTGAAGTCATTTTAATTCCAACAAATAATCAGTAAGTAAATGCAGTAGTTTATATATCTGTACATTTATTTGGATCTTTTCAGAGCAAAAGAATTGTGTGGTTGATAAAACTGGGAGTAATTAAACATCAGAGCTCATTGTTACACATGTTGACGTAGAGAAGGCAAAATGTTTTGAGATGTAAGCATTACTAGGGAAAAAAAAATATCTAAATTTGATTTTTTTTTCAAAGTGCTGCAGAAAATACCTAAAACAGACAAGGATTTAATTATTCTGCAATCTCTGTGTTTATTCAGTTTAAATGGGCAGAGTCACAACTGTCATGCTGCTATTTGAGAAAAGACATCCTCTGACATTTACATATTGGTCATCTGTAATTTGACATTTAATGAGTTCTTGTTTTTTTTATTAAAAGGGCATATATTTGAATATACAAAGAAAACAATAAAAAGAAAATATGCATGATATATATGGGGTTATTAAAAATAATATTTACGTTAACACATAGTGAAGCTTTATAGATTATTATAAGATTATTGTGTTAGAGGTGATTGTTGGAAAAATATTTGTAACTCAGAGATTATGTTTTCTAAAGTTGGAAAGAAAGAGCATTTCAGAAGTTTTAGGTGGACCTTTGCAAGTAAAGTATCCATATCCTTCCGTCAAACTGAGAGAAGTCCAGTTTTAGTGGACCTGAGATTCTCAAATTAGCTGTAGGGAAGAAGGAGGTCAAATGGACACGGAGGTGCAAGGCAATGACTGGGTCTGTAGGTGAGAAGTAGAATTTAGTAACCCAATCCGAGGTCCAACTGCAAGCCAGTGAAGCCGAATAACAGCCGGAGTGATGGGTTGCCAAGGTTTGGTGGGGGTGAGAAACCTGGCACCTGAGGTTTGGATCTACTGGAGCATTTCCAGAGATTTATTACGTAACCATAACAGACACTGCTGCAGTTTTCCAGATGAGAGGGCATGAAAAACGTTTTTTTTTTATATTTTTTTATTCTGAAAATTATGACTAAAGCCTTAAGAAGTATTTTTTCTAATGAAAAAAAAGTTTTTGATCCAATAACAACAACAATAATAATTAATAATAATAATAATAATTAATAATAATAAAAAAATTATTTTTCAAAAGTTGAAAGCGTATTAAAATTTATAGGTGGAAGCTTCGGGGATGTTTATGCATAACATTATTAAATATGGAAAACAAGTAAGAGAGAAAAGGCCTGTTGTTGACTCTAGGAAAGAAAGATTGAGGAATGGGAATGTTTTAACATTTTATCACAACACAAGATCTTAAAGAGTCTTGTCATTTAAAAGAACACACTGAATAACACTGGATGTAATTGTAAATAAGACTATAAATACTGACTTATCTCTGACTAATATATCAGCATTATTCTGTTTTACATGTCCCGTAACATCATCACCAGCTTTCAACTTCCTGAATATTTATCTACCAGATTTATTAGCCCGGATAAGCTTAATGTGTCTTGGGACATTTGCAGAACAGCTGATGCTACATTCTGTTCCTGCCAAAGCCAAGGAAGAAAAAAAAAAAGACTTTATATGACAGATTTCATCAAAACTTTTGGATTGGTATCTGTATATTAACATGAATAAAGGCACATTATTGTCCTCCAGCTGTTGTCCTCTGCAGGCATGGTGATGTCTGTAAACTAATCAGGTTAGATGGTTCTGCCCCATGTAGCTTTTTTTCTGTCACTGCCAATGTGGCTTTAACAGATTTATTATATTTTAAAATATATCATGTGCTTGTGGCATAGACAGTAGTGTAAGATTAAGACATATCAATACTTTATATGGGAATATTTAGTTTACTGCTCAAAGTTGCAGCAATCGGATGAAAAACATTTTTGTTTATAAAACTTAGCCTAAATTTTGAGGATGAACTGTTTTCTGTACCGAAGCTAAGTGGTTACTGAAATACTTTGTGGAGCAGTAAAAGAAAATCGACATGTTTTCAAGCAGAAATGTTTTTTTAATGATGAGAGAAGCTACTTTTGCATTTGTCATCTGTTTTAAACATTTAATGATAATGTATTCTACAAGTAATTAAAATATATTTAAGTGGTATTGCAATGCTGTGCCTGTGTTCTGCTCTGGGAAACTTGGCGCGGTGCAGATCAATCAGTTAAAATCGAGTCGATAACGAGTAGAATATTCAGATTTTGCTGGCAAAAAGTGATCATTTCATCTCATTGCTCAACTTTTCCACATCAATTTATGACCAGCTCTGTCCTCTTTGAGGTCTTTGAATAACTTCAGCTCTGCAGGAGCTAGAAGGAAAAAAACCATTGAGAATGACAGAAATCAGACGTAATAGTAAAATTCAGACTTTGCCACATGCAAGGCTGCATATTGTCTCCTCTCCTTCCATCATCCGCCCAGCCCGTGGCAATCAGCCCACTGATTGACAGCAACCACAGCATTCCTGTCATTATTCTAAAGCTGCCACTGACTTCTTACTCTTTTATTTTTCAGCCAGATTGCCGCAACTGAACGAAAATGTACATTCTCAATGCCACAATGTTGCAAAATAAGTCTTTTAAGTTTGTTTACAGGAAGTTTTTTTTCCCAAAAAGAAACGCTAGAGCCTTTTATCTTAGAAAAAGCAGGAACCAAACTAAACATAAAACCACAATCTCTAAGTGAGATACCAGTCTGTTAAGTAAAAGA